CATACATACATACATACATACATACATACATAATGTTATTAAAAATTTTAAAAAGGGAGATAAAACTAATACACATTAATATAAAGGAAGAAAAAAGAAAAAGAAAGAAATCAAAGAGAAAACTAGAAGTGCAAGAAAGGGAAAAAAAGAAAAAGAAAAATAGAAAAGAAAGGAAAAAGATACAAAGAAGTAGCTTCCAATCTTTACAGCAGTTATAAGTACAGTTATAAATTTACCTTCTTCTCTAACATTACAACATGTATCCCTTCTATAATCTATCCTATCTAATCATCAAAACCATAAATCGTTTTTTTCTGTTTTCTGCAAAAAGTCCATAAGGGATTTCCAGTCAGCAATAAACATAGATATTGTCTTTTCTCTAATCAAAAAATTCAATTTGGCCATCTCAGTGACTTCCATAGCCCTGAACATTAATAGAGATGCTTACATATAATTTAATTAAATGCATTAAATAACATTAACATTATTTATTAAGCAATTATTAGGCATATACTCTGAATACCTGTTTAATGAATAACTAAGTTGTCAATACAGGCAGTCCTCATTTAGTAACTGCCTTGTTTAGCAACCACTTGCAGATACGACGGTGATGAAAAAGTAACTTTGCGCCCAGTCCTCACACTGACAATCTTCGCAGGTCTGTAAAGGCAAGGAAAGCTGACATCAGATCGCAAGCACAATCACAGTTTCACTTAGCAACTGCTTCACTTAATGACTGAGTTGCTGGCCCCAATTTGGTTGCTAAACGAGGACTTGCTGTAATTTAAACAAAAGATCAAAGATTTTGGTTTCAGTTTCTAGAAAGTAGGAGTTGTTTGGATCAAAACTGCTATAGGTATTGCAGTGATGGATCCAAGTTCCTAGTATGGTTCACCAGCCCTCAAAGATTAATTTTTAGTATGTTTACTTACCTTACACCTTAAAGGGCCAAGAGCTTTCTTTCATTTCTATTTCCAAATGAAAGCTGAACATTTTGAGAAAGTGCTTTTTAGCCATCTATCCTCCCCTTGTTGATTTTGCCTGACATTTCATAAAAGGATACAGAAAAAGGATTCCAGAAGGAAAGCAACCATGATTTGATGGTGTCCCTTCAGGGAGATTTGTCTTTGTTACATCTTTTTCTTCCAAATTCTCCCCACCTGGTATTAAGCCTCACAAGAAACTGGTGAGGTAGGCAGTGGCATCTGCCAGGGGTCAAAAAAGTCAAGATGGTGGTTGTGACTGTGTAACTGAAGCTTTTAAATGTGTGCCAAAAGATTGTGCAGTTGCAGTCACCACCTTGATTTTTTTTTTACCCCCCCCCCCCCTGAATAACCCTGGTGGAAGGCTAAGAAAGAGCAAGAAAACGAATGAGAGTGTTAGCATCACAATCTTAGTTATTTCTATGCTTCTGACCTAGCATCAAATTGCCAATTTACATCGTCTGTCCTAAGCGTGTTCAGAGTCTCAGCTTTCATTTAAGTCTCTTACACTTTTATTTAAAGGGTAGAGAACAACAGATCTGGGCAGTGCCTTATGTTGTCCCAAAAAGGTATTTGTAAATATGTGAGGACATGAATGTAGCATCTGTCCTGCCTGCAACTCCTTAAAGCAGTAGGATCACATGTCTGAGCAATTCTGGAAGGAGATGTAGCTGCTTTAATAAGCTGTGTCATCTGCTAAGTAGGTCAGATATATGCGTGTGTGTGTGTGTGTGTGTGTGTGTGTAATAAGGCTTGCTAAAAGGTGCTGTGTGTTATATATACTTGCAGATAAGCCAAGAATTTTGGGTACCAAAATACACCCCAAAAATTGGGTTCGGCTTATCTGCAGACAGGCTTTTCTGTGAGTATGTACGATAACATTTTTTAAAGTACCCGCGTATACTCGCACATAAGCCCATCTGCGGATAAGCCGACCCTTGAATTTTTTGCAGGTGGCACATTTTTCATAGTATTTTGGTTAAAAATATGTGGGTCAACTTCTCCGCAGATGGGCTTAGACATTAATATATATATATGGTACATGTCACACCACTGCGTGAGCCAAAGGACTTTTTGGGAATCTAGTCTGAAGCACTGCATTGCCGTAATAAACCACAAGTACACGATATCCTTCTGAGCTGATCAGTATGAGATAAACTTGATTCGACCTTCCCCTTCCATGAATAAAGTTGATACTGAAACACTGAAAGGATCGACAAACTCTTGGTCCGTAGTTATGGTTCTTGTTCTTGTTCTTGAACGTTTTAGTTCGATGTACTTAGCAACTGTACGGGCCAATCCTATGAACATTTACTTAGAAGCAAGCCCTGCTGTTTGAAATCTTACTTCAGTCTTCTCTGACCTAACTTGTTCTAGCAGACGTGGAATAAACTTTATTTATTTTTTCCTTTTATTAATCATATTTATAACCTATTGAATCAACCATCAACTCCCAGTAGTTTACTCTAATAAAAAAGTATTGTATATATGAAAAAAAACCCAGTAAAAATTAAAACAGCCAATAGTTGGATTATAATTAAATGAATCCAGTTTTAATGGAGCCATCAATCCCCAATATAATCCCTGCAAGAATAGGAATATCAATAAATCAAAACCCAAATTAAAATTATGGCGACAGTTATATGTGAAATGCCTATAGAAAAAGCTCAGGGTTTTTTTTGTGACTCAGCTTGTCAAATGAATCTAGTCTTTTCCACTGGTTTACAAGTTAGTATATTGTGCAAACACAGAACATGGGTTAATTCAGTAACCAGGTTAAGTGTGCTGTTATGAACAAAGCCGATGAATGTGGGGCTATCTCATATTCTTCCCTGACTGGGGGCAAGAGAGAAATTACAAGGATCCACCTTGTAAGAGGAAAGAGTTAGGGTAAATGTAATAAAGAAATAAATGAAATATACATGGTAATATTATCAGATCTTTGATTCTTCTGTGGATATATTTGCAAGTCCAAGAATTAAAGCTGAAATGGTTTTAATGAAACACAAACACAAATTCCTAGACCTCATGAACGTGCAGAAGTCTATAAGCAATGTCTGATGAAATTGTGGGAGCTAATCTAGTTTTAGGGTTATCCCTAACTCCTTGTCCTACCTACCATAGAGTAGAAAGATAGCTTTTTAAAAAAGATGCAAACCGTATATTAACATTTTTGTGTGGGTGATGTATTTGAACTAGTGGCATTTAATTTTCACTGGAAAATTAATGGTTTTTATAGTTTTCACCAAAGAATGAAAACATAGCTGGTGAAAGATTCCAACATTTTATAATCCTTGTTGGTTAAATCCTTGTTAGTTACCTTGTTAGGGAAGGCAGGAGACATGTTTAGATAAATGTAGACAATGCATTGTTTCTTGGGGACAGATCTAACAGGATAGAAAAGATGGTACCCCGTTTCTATGGCTAATCGATCATGATGTTTTGTAGTTTGGCCGTAATCTAAAGACGGAATTTTCTACATTTCACCCTGGGATTCCTGCAATGGAATTAGCCGCACAATGCTGAGAAAAATGGAAAACTGCTTTATGGAGCTGCAGACTGGTGCTATGTTTGGGGTCCTAAGCACAGTGAAGCATCTTTCTGCCTTCACATCCATGTCTGCACAGACCCCATGTTGACTACAAAAGGGAAACATTACAACTATAGTAATTCCCAAGCCCAAATATATGGAATAATCTCAACAGAAGACCAGACAAGATGATATGTTAATTTCATGGCCACGTCTGTGTGTCTTAATAAATCTAGTCCAGATTCATGGATGCAAAGTAGGGATGCATTTTTTTTTATTTTTTCATTTTTAAATAAGCCCCCAAAATATATTGGGGGTGGTGGTCCAGAAAATCCTCCCCTCCCTGAAAAAGAGGGTCTGTCACAACTGATATTACACTGAGTCTACTGCTGTTCACCATCTTTCCGTGGTCAAAAATCTGCCTGCAAACTTCATTTGTTTGCTTTTGAGAGGTTTGTCTGGAAAAAGGCATGTTTTGGAAAACTGCCTATTAAAAAAGGATAGTAAAAAGCCTTGCTTGCAAAGCGATAATTTACAAAAGCCTGTGCTAAGGGAAGCAATATGTAATGAAGAACATCAGACAATTTTGCATGAACATGTATTGGGGGAATTTAACTTAGAAACTATGACATTAAGGAAAGCTGTGTACAAAAACCATGCACATTAGGGAGAGTAGGAAATGATTAACTGATGCAAATTCATAAGAGATTTTCAAACAATTATTTAAAAATGAATGGGCAGGAATTTTGTTCTAGTAATGTTAACAACATGGATTTATAGGATCGTGGCATTTATATTGCAGGTAGATGTTTCCCATGGGCCTGTTGTACTTGAATCTCATAGGTGCTGTTGGAAATTAAACCATTTTGGGTACCCATCCAAGTTTCCCTCTGGGCCATAAATGGCTTCCAGATCAAAATATTTCTCTAACCCAGTGTTGTCCAAACTTGGCCACTTTAAGATGAGTGGACTTCAACTCCCA